AACCTGCTTTAAAGAGAAAGATTTAATGCTTTAATGAATAAACCAGGAGTGATCTCCCCTAAACTTTGTCCAATATTCTTAGATTTTGAGAAATCGGAATTAGCGGACTTTCGGTGAACGGAAATTACTCAAAATTTGACGGGAGGTAGAGAATTAAATTGTTTACTTACATGTGAAATTTCATTTATCTATCTGAAATAGTACTCAAGTTATACGCTTTTGAAAAATTCAAAGTAGAAAAAGTAAAACTTCCGGTTATCGGAAATCGCTCAAAAATTGATATGGGATCTACGATTTTGATAACATATTAATATATGAAATCTGTTTTTAAATAGACAATGACACAAACATTTCCGACATATTTTTTTAATTCCCGCATTAGCTGACAAACTTATCTACAAAGCGGCTGTAAAGATATGTTATATAACTTAGATTTATAGTAGATTTGTTAGAAGATATTTCCATTTTAATTAAAATCATAGCTGAAGCATAATTAAGGTGAACATGGAACTGGTTCAAAAATTTAGCTAACTAATACAATTTTCACCCTTAGCCTCAAGTAAAGATACATTGGTAGCTTCTTTAGTGAAAGCACAAATTAAAGTACCTCACACCAAGGTTGAACGATACCGTTACCTCCTTCACTCTTTAACATTGGAACGGTGTGGTCGTGTGGAATGTCATGTGATAACCTGAAAGTGTCGGGTTCGGATTTCGGGCTAGAGTCGACTACGTCATCTCTAATCGAGAGAGTTCTGGTGGGTACTTTAAACACTTTACAAGGTCAGCATTAACATTAAGTTTTATAAATTGTTATAAAATAATTCATCAATAGGCCTACATTAAATTTTGGAAAAGCCGATAGGTCTAAACATTTTCTAAAAATCGCTGCTTTTAAAACAAAGTAGCAGTGTGTGTGTGTGTGTGTGTGTGTATGTCTGTCGGGGGGGGGGGGTGGGTTGTTGGCTTAGGTTTTCTTTTTTGGGGAATTGGGGGGAGGTCTGGCTTTTGTTACCATAGAGAGTGGCCGGGGGGGGGGGGTGGACAAAATGTGACATCGTTAATAGATGACCCCATAGTCAGAGGTCTATCTAGACTGATTAGGCCTATTTTTAAACGGTGATATTAATTACACTTTACTTGCTATTACAATGGAATATAACCTAGTTTTTTTTAATTTATATTAAATAATTTAACATCCCCTTTCACCACATCACCCTGACTATACTAATCTGATTGAAAATAATAATGTTTAGTGAATTACTATTATATTATTTGTAATTTTGTATTTGAATATTTCTGGGTTTAGTAAAACCGGATGTTATTTTGTACTTATTTCACAAATGTTATAAAATAGTAAATTTTGGTTAAAAAATATGCTTTCTGGCAATAACCAATAGTACCATTTGGGCCAAATTTCCCTACATATAGTAACGATGTAAAATTATTCTAACCTTATTTGAGATGTTTCTTATTATATAATAATAAGTACTAAATTAAACTCTTTTTAAAGGCGCAACTATTTTTTAAAATTTTTTTTTTAAATCTAAAACACACATTATTTGTACAATATTATTGGATATATATTGAAATAAATCGGACGAAGTGATGTTAAATGGATCACGTTGTCTAAGAAAACGTAATGGATACAAGTAGTATTTTCGCTATAGATCAACTCTTGATTTGTATTTCTCATTTAACGTTAATGATCGTTCTGAGTTTGCAAAAAGTATCGTGTAAGCACCAGAAATTATTACATTTCCAGAAATTCGTTCATTTAGTTCAACGATTGATGTGAATACCTGCACAATCACTTCTTCAAAATAAATTATTTGCATCCTATCTATTCAACTGGCTGAACAATAGCTCAGCTACAGTTGACACCAGCTACAGCTGTTAATCATTTATTTTGTTGGTAGGCCTACGTTGAGCTTACCTTTCGTTTCGTTGTTTTCATTTTCAGTTTTATGTTCGGTTTTTCCAGATCTCAGTGGACTGCTGCCTAACGGAGAATCCCGATATTATCTGTGTTTACACGTAACAAATGTTTCTAGAAAATCAAATTGTAATTGTTGTATTTACTACTTGAGAGTTACGATTTTCCAAGGTTTTAAATAATTAATTGTAAATTGTAAGTATAATTTGAAATATAACTTGTGAGATATGAATATTTGAGTTAAAGTTTATTTAGTTTACAAAAAACAATAACGTTTTATTTTTAAATACTGGCCAATAACCCTCCAGAGGGAAAAAAAAGACACTAACATCGTATTGGTCATTAACACACTGTCCCACAGTATAAACAATTAAAATTTACATCACTAACACACCGACACAACTGGTGCATCACTAGCACTTTAACGTACGTTAATTCTAGCCGTATATTTTATCGGGAAACACTTCTGTTTTGGTGAGTTTGACTAAAAAGTTTTTAATAAACTGGTAATTTAGAACAAAAGGCCGGACATTTTTTATTTTGAACTTTAACAACATGTCCTTGTCAGTTGATCTACAATGATAACAACTGATTACGTAGAAAAAAAAACCTATAAAATAACAAATGTATTTTTTTTTTTACAAAATGTATACACGAGCAAGTCATGTGACAAATTTGGAGTATATAAAAAGGAAATAATTTATTTATATATATATATATATATATATATATATATATATATATATATATATATATAACTAAATTAGAATAGGTTAGGTTTACCTGTCGTCCATCCTGGGACATGGGCCGTTTACAAGAGCTTTCCAGACGTATCTGTCATGGGCTAGGCTCTCCAACTGTCCCCAGGTGTATCCAATCTTCTTGGTGTCTTATTCCAGGTCACGTCTCCAGGTCTTTCTTGGTCTACCTCTCCTTTTCCTGCCCTGTGGATTCCAGGTGAGGGCCTGTCTTTGTTATGCTGGATACAGGCTTCCTTAGTGTGTCGCCAATCCATTTCCATTTTATCTGGAGGATCTCTACTTCAGCTAGCAGTTGCTATATATCAATATTTCTGATGGTTTTAGGCCAGCTAATTCACAGGATCTTTCTGATGCATGCGTTTATAAATGATTGTATTTTCTTCTTATTTATTGAAGTTATTCTCCATGTCTCAGGTCCATAGGGTAAAAGGTTTTATCAGTATGTTGATGATCCGGATTTTTATTCCAAGGATTAAATCACCAGAACCCCAAACATTTTTTAGTTGGCTGAAGACTGCTCTTGCCTTGACCATCCTTATTTTTATTTCTGCTTCTGTCCCACTCTGCTTATCAAAAATACTTCCAAGTTAGGGGAATCTATCCACTTCTTCTACGGTTTGTTCTGACAATGTTATAGGGGTGCTGTTTGATGCATTTACTTTGAGAACTTTACTTTTTCCTCTGTGGATGTTCAGGCACAGGCATGTAGAAAAGTTAGCAACCCTGTTGGTTTTATCCTGCATTTGCTGTTGTGTACGAGAAAGAAGGGCTAGGTCATCAGCAAAGTGCAGGTCATCCAGCTGGCTCCACAGTGTCCACTGTATAACGTTTCGCGTTTTCTCTGTTGACATCTTCATAATCCAGTCTATGGGCAACAGGAACAGGAATGGTGAAAGTAGGTAAATCTGCCTTACTCCGGTCTGTACTGGAAAAGGAATCCGAAGTCTGTTGGCAAGGCAATACTTTACCTTCGTATGAAGACATAATAATGTTGACTATTTTCTGTGGCACCCCGTAGTGTCTCAACAATTTCCACATTGACTGTCTATCCAGGCTATCAAAGGGCTTCTCATAATCTATGAAATTAATATAGAGATAAGTTCTACTCTTGGGTCTGTTCAATGATGATGCGCAGGGTAGCAATTTGGTCTACGCATGACCTTTCTTTCCTAAAGCCCGCCTGTTGATCTCAAAGCTGGGGGTCTATCGCTTCCTTCATTCTGTTTAACAATATTATGTTGAAGACTGCATGGGATGGACAAACGTGTTATCCCTCTATGGTTAGAGCATGCACTAAGATCGCCTTTCTTTGGAAGTTTTATGAGTAGTCCCTTATTTCATTCCTCTGATTATTGTTTATAATCCCAGATTTTCTTGAAGAGTGTGTTGCGTGGTGCTAGTTTCTATATCTGCTGTCAGTGCTTCTGCCGGTATACCATCTATTCCTGGAGTCACCCAATTTTTCAATTGCTTTATAGCTGTAGGTATTTCTTCTTTCGAAGGTGGGTTACAGTCTATAGTGGGATCACTTATAGCTGGTACTATACCTAAGGTGCACTCTGGTATTGGTCTATTCAATAGTTTTTCAAAATTTTCTACCCATCTCTTCCTCTGTCCTTCCGTATCAGGTATTATCTTTCCATCTTTGATCTCCACTAGCCTCTCTGGCCCAGATATCTTGTATTGTACATGTCCCTAATATTACCATGGTACAGTGCTTCTTCCGCTTCACTTGCCAGAAGTTCCAAATAACTCCGTTTGTCTATCCTTAGGCATTTCTTGACACTTTTGTTTGTTTCATTGTATTCTTCTAGTGCTTTTAATCTAGCAGCCCTGTGTACGACTGTTGTTTAATGTTGACTTATTCCCTTTTCGCTCTTCAATTATATTCAGAGTATCTAAATCCATTCCTTATTTTGCCGTTTGATATGGCCTAGCACTTCTTCACATGTTAATGTAAATATGTTTTTATTTTTTCCCATTTTTCCTCAATCGTCTCTTTCTCTATTAGCTCTTGTAAGACCTGAAACTTCTTGGAAATATGGAGCTTAAAATCAGTTAATTTAGAGAGTCCTTAAAAATGCCAGTGTTATACCCGTATTTCCTTTTGTTTTCCAACATCTTTTTTCTTTGGCTTTAAAATTAAATACAACTAAATTAAATATAATGTGCAAGGTACTAGGCGTATGTGTTCTAAATATTTCTCAATGTTTTATATATTTCACGTTCTCTCACTATAATACCTTGGCTAAATCTCGTACTGTGATTAATGTGTAAAATAAATGTAACATATCTCAACAGTGTACTAGATATCTGAAACAACAAAGTAATTAAAAAGTAAGATGCGCTCCAGAATTCAGGTCAAACATGTTACAGAATTAGTGAAATGTTTGGAAGAACATATGCAACTGATAGAACCTGTCATTGGAGTTTTGCAAAGAGTAAGCGATGATTTTTTTTTTAAATATTCAGTGTTTACAACAAGGTATATTACAAGGAAATAACAAGTATTTCATTTCTAAAAATATGTATTTGCTCTATTTAATCAGGCAGTAGAAAAAAGCAAGATTTGGATAGAAGATAAAAATGACAACCCGTCTATCACCTACATCGAGTTATACCAGGAACTTGAATCAGCGACCACTGCCATGTTAGATGCAGCGTCACACATTATAAGTGAATGATTAGACAACAATAGAATTTTTAAAAATGGTCACAACGTGTAAATACTTGATCACCTAATGTGGGACCAAGTATAACTCATAATTTAATGTTTAACTAGCTATCAGAATGTACGACATTCTAAGTGATTTGCACGCGTTATAATTTATTATATGAAATCAAATGTCTGCTGTAATCATCCGCTTACAAAAGTAAATATGTATGAAATACACAAACATGTAATTAAAAAACCAGAATTAAACCATTACTTAAAAGTGAAATACTAAAGTTTCCTTATTTAATATACATATATAACAGGTGAAAATATAGAGCCCGTAGATGTCGAGGTAGCAAAGCCATCTTTTTCTCAGTCTGCACCAAAAACTGCAGCAACAGAAAAACGTGACCGAACTGAATCAAAATATCAAGTGAAAAAACAAGCTCAACAAACAGACGGTAGAATCTATTTATTAACGACGTAGAAAAAAAACACGAAGAATATATTAGTGTATCTTTAAAAATATTTCTTCAACGAAGACGCATATAAGAATTAATACAAAATAATTCATATTTCAATTAACTTTATATTTTTATGCAACAGAAATAGTGAGTCGACTTGAGCAGATAGAGACAGCCATATCTTCTCTACAAGACGCCAATATCAAGTCTACAGATGACATATCAGAAATAAAACAATGGAGAGACAACTTTGTAACAGAACAGAGTGACATGGGGGTAAACATTGAACAACTGATTAAAAAACAAAAACAGAATTTTAAAAACCTCAGAAAACAAATGAGTGAACAAGATAACAAAATAAAGGAGCTGAACAAAGAAATTGAAAGTTTAAAAGAAAAAGAATCCAAGTCAAACAAAACATTAGAGAAACTGTCTCTAGATATGAAACAATATGAAAACAACTTACAAAAAATAAACAAGAAGATGCAATTTTACACAGATAACACCGACGGTATAACAAAAGAAATGAAAAGACATTCTGATTTGATTGTATCTTTACAAGAGGAAAGTGATGCAAGCTCAATCAAACTTGAGAAGGTGCAATCAAAGGTAAACTTTAAAATTGTCAATTATTCTAGTACAAAATTATACACTTAATCACATACTTGTTAACATGATTCAAATTTCATGACGACGTTAGGTAAAATACGGTTTAACTCTAATGCTGATTTTAAAACCATTTTATTGCACATTCTGCTTCTTTTATAAACTTTGAAAATGGGCTATTTCAATGTTTGGTCATTTAGCACAGTGTGATGTACAAACTCCTGCTAAACAGATTAATGCACATTGACAAACTGATTAAAATCTTCAACCAAAATTTGGAGATAAGAGCGAAAAATATTAAAAAGGTAAAATGTATGGTTGTATATATATTTTAACTAACGTAAAAAAAATCTATCACTTAATCATTATGCTTTTTATTCTCATTTAAGGTATCTTATGAAAACCTAATCTATATATACACTGAAATTATATTAAATATAACAGAAGGTTAATCTATTTTCGACCCGAGCGTGTTACTGTACAAAAAATGTATTTCAGCTTGGATCTTTAGAAAAAGATGTTTTGAACTTAACGGGAGATTTCGAAAAATTCGGTGAGTTGTTTTTAAATTACAACTATTTTAATAACTACGGTTTCATGTGATTATTGAAATAATTGTAAATAATGTAAAAATCTTACCACCTTGTAGTCTTTAATCGTGAGGTGTTGAACTCTACTTCAAAATGAAATCTAAATCAGATACCTTATAAACCGATAAGTAATTATACATACAGATAATAATATTTAAAATAGTGGCAGAAACATACTTGATATGTTAAGTTAGCAGTGTTTGCATTGGTGGAGTGTCACATAAATGCGAGTCCCTTGATTTCCAACATCAGTCAGCACAGCAACCTCAGTTTGAAAGCATGACATACCTGATATTCTTCTCGTTTACAAAAAATATTCACTATGCACAGTTATATTATTATTTCTTAGTTTCAACATACTGAAAGAAATCGGTAGTGATCTCCCCTAAAACTCCTCGAATCCTAATATATAAATCCCCACGTTCGCACATCTCTCTCTCTCTCTCTCTGTCTGTCCGCAAAATATTTTCGCCGGACATCACGTCAGAATCGGCAGCGATATATGAAGAGCTTTTTACGGACTTTTGTTGAAAATAATATGTTAGATGTTTTAAATGTATAACCACAATTTTAGTTAAAGAAGAAAAATAAAAATTAAAGGCGTATTCGAATGTAGAGAAACAGTATTATTTATGCAACCGGAAAAGCATTAATATATGTGAAAAAGAACGCATAAAACTGTGACGTCACTATTGCTTATACATTAACTAATGACGTCATCTGCCGTGTTTAGAATGAAAAGAAATGAACTATTTCATTCAAATTTGATTTAGATCTACGTACACTATGAAATGTATACAATACAATTTTTCCGGCCTAAACTCATAAAATTTATTTTATGTATTTGGATTCTAGATCTAGAGATTCTAGATCTAGACTAAATCTAAATCTAAATCTACGCAATAACTAGATCTAGACGTAGACGCTAAGATCTAGATTTAGACTCTAACTTCTCTAAAATCAATTCCAAAAATAAATTTCTATATTAGGACTAAACTATTTCAAGACTTATTTATTTTATACAAAATCTTTGTTTGGAACTGGCTAATTTGGGATAAAAAATTAATTTGAAAGAATATGCATATTCGCGTAATTTAAGATTTTAAAATACGTGTTTCATTCTCCGTATTTTATAAGGTGCCTTAATAGCGGAGATGTTAGTGTACATTAAACCACGCAGGTGGTGCGGGATCGAGACACAGCAAGTCAACTTGGTTAATGTATTCTTTTTTATTCTTTTTTATTATGCTCGGGCTAAACTTTAAAAAAAAAATTCTTTTAGGAATCTAGATCTAGATCTAGATTGTCGGGTGTCCGATAGGGAACTTCCCGGCGCCGCAGGCGCTTCAAATTTGGCATGATCTTGCCTTGGTGCGACAGAACACGGGGGCCGGTTGGCCGAAAAGTCTACGATGTGGGGGTCAAAACTGACCTCGACTGACCGGTACCTTATATGAGCTATAAATCGAAAAAAAAATGTCCACGGAGGAACCTCTTCATAACTCTTGAGGTCGTAGACCGACCTTCGGGCGAATTAATTAAGCATTCAAATTCTCAATGTTTTCGAAAGCCTAAGCGAAGCTGGGCAGCATGCCTAGTATTCTTATATAACACTAAGAGGAATTGCAGCACGGGATATAGACATAATTTTTAATCAATTTTCAATTACTTAACTTTTTAAAAAAAGAATAGAAAAAATAATTGCTCACCAAATGTATTGCAAACAATATTTGCATAGTAGTTCGGACTATTATTAGTATTTTATAATTTAATTTTCACATTTTTGATAATTCGAAAATAGCATAAACTACTAATTCCGATCGACGGAACTTACTCAAAATTTGATAGGTAGCAGAAAATTAGTTCTTTTACTTATACGTGAAATTTTGTTTATCTATCTGAATCAGTAGGCCTACTTTAATTATAGGCTTTTGGAAAATTAAAGAAGAATAAGTTCCAGCTCCGATTATCCGAAATCGCTGAAAAGTTGATACAGAACTACAAAATTGGATAAAATACTTATATATGAAATTTCATCAACCTAGCTGTAACGGTACTCAAGTTATCGCGTTTACAGACACACACACAAACACACACACACACACACACTAACACGGACATAATTGCAAACCCATCTTTTCCGATTCGAATACACACATAACGCCGAAATGTTGATAAATCTGGATTTTTAATTTTTGCACGATTAAAATAAGTTTACTATACTCCGTATATGATGAAGTAGGCCTACTGAGGTGTAAAACGGTGAAAACTCAAAATTGCAAGTGATTTTTGTGCACTATTAAAATACTTCCTCTATACTCTGTATACGAGAAAGTAAAACTATATATATATATATATATATATATATATATATATATATATATATATATATATATATATATATATATATATATATATATATATATATATAAATGCACTGTATATTAGTCTTTAAAAATAGTTTTCCCAATATACTCATGAAGCCTGATAACATAAAACAAAACAGTTATTTCCCTCTAATGCTATTTTTAACATTAGTGTTATTTAACCAAATTAGGTTTTTTACATTTGACTTGATGTAAAATATTAATGTGAATTTTTATAACTTCCTCAACAAATCAAATGTCTATATTATTGTATTCCTTTTTGTTTTTATACCAAACATTTAACAGACCCCTCCCCTTTCGTAGTATAATTGTCTAATACAAATACTGTTACAACATAAACTAATGACAAGACAAAGTTACATTATAAAGTTCAAATAGTCAGAGCTTAGCATGTATGTGTGAACATGTCAATAATACACGTATTTTATTTTCCAGAGTCACGTGTATTTAACAAGTATGCTTGTTATATTGAACTTGCTGATCCCACACCTGTACGTATTAAAACAATTATTTCAAACTTTGAGGAAGTACATGAATATAACGGTAAACACTTTAATCCAACAACAGGGAAATTTGTATCACCACATGATGGTTTATATCTTGTCTGTGTCAGTCTACATGAAAACGAAAACAAACTGATTGGAGTTGTTGTGAAGGCTGGATTCAGGGTGTGTAGGTTTATAGAAGTGAAACGTGCCAACACTAGCACTGCTGGGTCAGTGGTTGTTGACATGAAGAAAGGTCAAGAACTTTACTTTCAAGTTTTTAACGCAGAACAAGGCGCAACCTTATCCGGCTACAGCAGTTTTACTATCGTTAGTTTATAGAAGCACAATACAAAACATGGTAGATGGTAAATTCTCCAAACACACGCAAACAACTTACTATATGTGTAGACTACATGTCTATAAAAACTCTTCTGATTTGTTTTGGTTAATCATCATAAATAGTACCAATTGATTTACTGTTATCACTATGTATGTGTTCTACTTGACAACAACGATAGTATATTAATAACGTTATAGAATATAGCATAACTCTGATTTGTATGTACCGTTGCTCTATTTGTATGGACAATATCATTTTATTTGAATATGTTTTGATTTGTAAACTATAAAACACATTATTCGTGTTAAATATGTAATTAACATTAGAACACTTGAGTTCTTTATTTTTTAGCGCAATTTCCATTCTGGAGAATTGCGTTTATTAACTCGTCATTTCTGGGAATGGATGGATGAATGTATGGATGTGTGTCCGCAGCTTTAAGTCGTATCTCCTCCTCAACGAAGCAATATCGATGACTAGTTACAAAAACAATTATGTTAAGCAAGTTACGAGGATGAACATAGGCCATAAAAATTCCAGGTTTCTTTCATGAATTTCCCGGAAAAGCCAAAAAACCTCGAAAAAATGCAGTTTTTGGCCCATATCTCGGTAACCAGACCACTTAGCGACTTGAAACATGCACCAATCGATTTCTGCTATAATTTTGTACAATATTGCCGAATAAAGTTTTCAAAAATATCCTTTCGTTTGGTCACAAACAATTTTTTGAATTAATTAAAATTTGGACCGAATTAGTAGGCATTTTATGCAACCACACCACACGCGTCATCACGTTTTATAGCTGCGCCATCACGTTCAATATCTGCGACATCACGCTCGGTAGCTAGGCGCGCAATGGTTTTTAGTCATGTTACTCTATTGTAAATAAAACATGTAAAATACTGAAAAAAAAATTAATAAAAAACGTTTTAATAACTAACCAATGGTTTTACTAACCCTGCTGTTGATTTACGCTACGGCAGAGCTATTTTTAGATAACGTAAGGAAATTGCGCTAAAATTGTCTCTAGACTTTTTTAAATTACTTGTTTTTACTTTCTCGTATATACGTAGTATAGAGAAAGTATTGTAATCGTGCAAAAAAAAAAATCGAGATTTTTACAAATCACGCGGTGTGAGGATACAGTGGAGTTTTAAAGGTAAAAAATTGGTTAACAGTGTTCTCATAAAAGAGTTAGTAAAGTTAACAAAACAACTGTAAGTATTAATTTGGGGATAACAAAATGAATACAAAAAGAGTAGGGGTCATTGGGGTCATTTTGTACGTTGTGGACCAAAGTACCTTACATATATGATAATAGTAAAATAGAGAGAAATGATGGCTTTACAATGTTTGTTTGTAAGCTGTATAAAAAAAACAATACACAAAAAGCAACAATAGGAAACTTTATGACAAATGATAATTGATGCGAAACAAGATGGGGACATGGGGGTTGAAGGGTGGGAGTTAAATTAATGTTGTTAGAAATGTATTTGGATAATACGTCATTTTCAGTATTTAACATAGTATTTCAACACAGGGGTGGGGTTAAGGGGACGAAGGGGATGCAGTTATGGGGGCAATATGATATTGGGATCATGAGGTTTAGGGGCGGGGGCGGGGAGGGTGTGATGAAAGGGGATGTGTCGGTTAGATTAGGCGGGCCAGGTGGCCAATGCAGTGTAATATGTTCTTTACGTTGGGGTGTTGCTAATTATGGTATATGTGTTTTAGTGTTGTCATTGTCGAGTCGTTTAGGCATTTTGTTGTAACTATATCGATGTTGAAAGACTTGTTTTTTTTTTTTGTTATTTTGGTTTCAAGCGTCTTTTTCATGTTTTGTATGGTGGGGCATTCTAAATAAAAAAAGAGATGTGCGTTTCGGTTTCTGGTGTGTTTTATTTGCATAGTGGGCAATAGGGTTTCTGTTGGTTTGCTAGGGGTGTTGAATTGCAAATGAGTCTGTTATTTCCCTAGCTTTGGGTGTGATGGTTTTGAGGTGTAGGTTCCTGGAGGTGTCTTTTGTGTCTGTTAGAGCGAATTTCCTACACCATTGAATTCTATTGTATGATGGGTTTGAGAGTTTTTGCACTAACTTTTTGTAGATGTATTGTGATTTTCGTGAACAAGTTTTTCGTTCTTTTGTTTTTCTTTCTCGTTTATACGAAGTATAGAGAAAGTCTTGTAATCGTGCAAAAAAAAATCGAGATTTTTAAAAATCTCGACGTTTTACACCTCACTGATACGGAAAAAACATAATTTTGCAATCTTGTCCGTATGTCTGTGTGTCTCTCTGTCTGTGTGAGTGTGTGTGTGTGTCTGTGTGTGTAAACACGATAACTTGAGTACCGTTACAGCTAAGTTGATGAAATTTCATATATAATTATTTTATCAAAATCGTAGATCCGTTTAAACTTTTGAGCGATTTCCGATAACCGGAAGTGGTACTTTTTCTACTTTGAATTTTTCAAAAGCCTATAACTTGAGTACTAATTCAGATAGATAAATGAAATTTCACATGTAAGTAAGAAATTTAATTTTCTACCTTCTGACATATTTTGAGTAATTTCCGTTGACCGGAAGTACTTATTTACGCTATTTCCGATTTCTCAAAAAACGCATGTAAATTTATAAAGTACTAATAATATTGCGCATTATTATGCATATTTTGTTTTTGCCTTTGCTTGGTGCGCAATTCTTTTTTCTACTGGATTTTATTCTATTTTTAAAAGTTTAAGTAAATAAAAATCATGTCTAGATCTATATTTCCAGTTGCCATCCCACGTAGTGTTATATTAGAATATTCGAGAAAGTTTAGGGGAGATCACTCACGGTTTATTAATATTTGTAAGCATTCTGTGTAAAAGGGACTGTGTTTTCCTCCTATGTAATGTGTAGTTGTAGTATTGATTTTTGTAAGTTTGTTGAGCTGAATGCCTATAAAGTAGTCAGCTAAAGGGTGAAAGTTTGGTTGACTATTTATTCTGCTAATGTGTGTTAGTCTGAATGTATTGATTTTGGTCTGTATATCGTGCAGGTTTATTCCTCCATAATGTTTGTTTTGTACTAACGTGATGTGGCTAATGTTTGAAATCGTGGTCTGAAATATGGCTCTCTAATGATTTTATTCAGATGTTTAATTGTTGGCTTTGGGATTGTTTTAGCCGTGGCTATATAGTATAGGTAATATTTGGGATTACGTACCTATTAATTATAGATGACCTAGCAAAAATTGTTCTTGAGCTAAATTTATAAAGTGCTATGGTGTTTTGAATTTTGCTTGAGACTTGTTTCCATTCATCATCGTTATCGGTGTGTGGGTTGTTGTAGCGGGTTATGCCGCAAAGTTTTAGTTTGTTGGTACCTATCATGTTAAGTGGGTAATTTGGTTTGTTAATCCAACGTCCAAGTCCCAAATTTTGGTTTTCATTAGGTTAATTTTTGACCCGCTACCCAGCCCAAAGTCGAGGAAAGTGTCTGTTATTAGAATGATAGATTTTTCGGTTTGGAGAGTAAATGCTGTATCATCAGCGTACGCTAGAATTTGTTTGTTTAATTGGTTTGGAATGTCGACTCCTCTGATGTCTCTAGTGTTTCTAATGCATTCTAACAGGGGTTCAAGTGTAAGTATATAAAGGATAGTAGATAGGGGGCAACCTTGTCTGACTGATTTATTTATTCTAAAAGGTTGGGAAATATTATGGTTTATCAGTAAGTGACTATGTGCATTAAAATAGATTGTTTTTATCCATGTCGTAAAGTATTGTCCTAAATTGTTTGCTTCTAAGATTTTGTAAAGGTATTTGTGAGCTACCCGGTCGAAGAATTTTTCGTGATCTAAACTGAGTATGCATGCTTGTGTGTTTTTCTCGTGTGTGTAGTGGATGATGTCTCAAATTAAGTGATTGTGATTTTGTATGTTCCTACCTGTGATGTTGCATTGTTGATATACATGCATAATTTTATGCAAGTGTTGTTCAATTTTGGAGACTAGAGCTTTGGTTAGGATTTTGTAATCAGTGTTTAAGGGAGAAATAGGTCTATAGTTTTGGGTTAGTTTAGGATCGGTTTTGAGTTTGCGTATTAATGTTATGTATGATCTGTTGACATTTTCGTGGCATTGTTCTAGCAGAAACATATCTCTAAATGTAGCTAAAAGGAGGGGAGTTAGATAGGCTGAAAAGGCTTTAAAAAATACGCTTGTCAAGCCGTCCGGTCCAGGTGATTTATTTGAATTTACTTAGAGTATGGCTTTGGTTATGTCGACTGACTGAAAAGGGGTGTCAATATTAATTTTGTCGCTGTCAAGTAGGGGTTTAATAAACTTAAGGTATTTGTCTTGTATGTCTGTGTTTGTCTCTTCGAACTTGTATAGTTGCGTATAATAGTCTCTAAGCATTGATTGAATTTTTTCAGGGTCAGTCGTCTCTTGGTTATTTTTGTCTTTGAGATGTGTGATTTGTTTTGCCCTCTGAAAGCTTTGTTCTAAAATTAAGGTGTGGTGTGTGGGATTTTCTGAGCCTATTTGTTCTATTCTACTTCTAATTTGGGCTCCTCTATATTTGTGCTCTTGTATTTTAGAAAGTTCCGCTTCTATTGAATCTATTTGTTTTTTGTTGTTGTTGATTCTTTTAAGTATACTTATTTTTTTTCTAGTTTATTTTCTATGTGGGCCCTTACGCTATTGATGCTTCATGCATACTGTATACCCGCTTAATGTCTTGCTTTAAATCTTCCCACTGTTGGATTTTGTTAAATCTTGGTGATGACTGCGTGTAAAGTTGTATTATGTCTTTTATAGTGTTGATGTAGCGCTCGTCTAGTAGTAGTAAATTATTATTGAATTTCCAGTATGTGCTGTGTTTTGGTTTGTTTTGTGTTTGTTCATATTTTAAAGTTGTCAGAATTGCTGTATTGTCGCTAAACTGTAGTGTTGAGAATACGTGTTTTACTTTGTTGATTTTCATGTGCGATGGGGCGTAAATTCTGTCTAAACGGAATCTATTCCCAGATGTGTTACTTCCGTAGGTGTTTTGTATGGTGTGTGGATATTGCGCTCTGTATGTGTCGACTAAATTGAAATATGTTTTAAATTTGTTGATTGAGTCGGCGTGTGGTTTG